ATATTTAATATTTTGAATTTTCACGTTCCTGCTCATCTTTAAATTCCGAAAAGCAGCTCATCATTATAATGTAATTGTATTTATTTTTAAAATATTAAGTATATACGCGACTCATATGTATGTTTGGCACATAATCTCACATAAGTATAAGAATATGAATACGTGTACATACATATATGCATATATATCGCTAACAAATAAGAAAATAATTTTAAAGAAAAATGAAGAAAAAAATAAAACGTTGACCATGGAAAATGAGTAAACAATTCATTGCAAAAATACCACAGGCAGTCAATAGCTAAAGATGCCAATACAAAAACTTTAATGAATAGCATATTTTCATTTAATATTTTTAAAGATTGCACCAATAAACAAAATTTTATATATATACATATATATCCATATATGTGTACAAACATATATAAAATGTATGCATTTCCATACAATTGTCAGTAACAAGTCAAATTGCGAAAATTAAAATTGAAAAAATATTTTCATTTAACCATTAAAAAAATTGTTGTGGGTTGATGGTATCATTCAAATTATGACCGGTAATATTCAATATTAATTTATAGTTTTGATTATCCCGTAAAAAAAAAAAACCCTAACTCTTATAATTACGGTCATGTTCGCTGGATGATAAATTGACTCTTCTTCATCATTGTCTAGTTGGTATTTTTTTCTTTTATTTTTTGTTTTTTTGTTGTCTATTTTCTTCACCTACTTTTCTTTACCATGCATTATTTTAAAAAGCGTGTGAATATGAAATTTTTTAATGTATTCTAAATTTGTTTCACCATTTGTGATGACAGCCATCACAAAAAGAGAGGATAATATTTTAAGAGAAAATAAAACAATTTTGGAAAAACAGCCTGTTGGAAAAAAAGATACCAGATTTTGCCTGCACATATGTAAAAGCTTATAACTTCGGATCCATGCAACATAGCGTAATCATCGAATCTTGCTTTGCAGGCGATTAACTGTTCTTTATTTCTGGTCTTACAATTAATTTGATTTGAGCCATAGCTTTCGAGATAAAACTTGTCAAATTCAGAATTTTTCGAAGTGCTACAATGAGAGCTATAAGTTAAACCATATAATATTCTCCTGTATCTCTTATAGTTTTTCCAGCAAAACGTGTTAAAATGTGTTTTAAAAACATGCGAAAAATGAATAGTTCATGCATTCATACAGAAAATTGATTCCTAAAACTATTTGCCACCTTATTCGAAACAGCCTGTATATTGTAGAAATAAGTAATAAAATAAATTATTGTAAATCGTTTAATAAAATTTACGATATTACTGTATAATAATCGATAGCAATTGATTTTTGATCATTGAAAGCAGCTTTGTTAAAAAATCCCAATAAAAAACTCTCATTACACTTACGTTAAGTTAGCATATCGAAAAAACTTCCGGTCAACATATTATGCAATATGAATTGAGAAAATTTTATCAAATAAATCATCAAAATCATATTAAAAGTTTAGAGAGAATTTCTTATAAAATATTATTAATTTCATTAATGAAAAATACTCTTCAATATTTAAGATCACTTTATTGAGTTAAAAATGCCTCAGAGTTGATGGTTATTACAACTACGAAGACGGATTTACTTTCGTTATACAGAAAAAAAAAGTGAAATAATTTTTCTATTTTACAAATGATCTCATTATTACTTGCACGTTCTGCTTAATTTTTTAAAGATGAAAAAAAAATTAATATTTTCCAGTCACAAAATTATTTGAAATATTTATAGATAAAAATATTATTTTGCTCTGCAAATATTAACAACAATATTTAAAAAATAAGAAAAAAATTTCTCGAATTGCATAAGAGATCATAAAAGAGAAATAAAGATGACATCAAATTATGAAAGTACGCCATAACTGTTTGGGAAAATCGGGCAATCCTGATTCAGAATAAATGAGATAATGTTAAATATTGTTTATTAAAATATTGAAAATGCTATTGACTTTATTAAATTGTGAAAAGCGGCTTTAAACATAAATTAAGTGAGAAATTTAGTTTTTCGTTTTTCAAATTACTAAGAAAAATTGATAAAATTTTTGGCATACAAAGAATCTAAAGTTAAATTTTGTTATTTTAAAAGAAAACTCTATATTTTCTTTCAATTAATTAATTGTCAACCACGGTAAATTAACAACATTTTGACACAACTATGATGAAACTAAAGGGAATTAAACTTTGGAATGAAATTAAAAACTACAAAATTCGATTAAGCTATTAAGAACGCGACTTTTATTATTCTATTCGTTAGTAAGAGTTTTAATTTCTAATAAAATCTAGATTGTTAATTTATATAACCGGCGCAACAGTACACCGCGACCACGTGTGCCTTATTGTTCCCTGAATGCGGAACATGCCCCACAACATTTGCTCGAGACCCAACCTCCTGCTAAACAAGCAACTTGTAAGACAAAATCTAATATAATCCATATAAAAAATATTTCTAGAAAAAATTGCATATGATTAGGCGTTTACAAATAAACTGCTTTGAATATCTTTATCTTCTTTTATATAATAAAATTATGTTAAATTTTCTTTTACAGAAGCAAAAATCACAATTATAATCAAATTATAATCAATTTGGTTAAGTTTAAGAGTAAATTTTAATAAAATTAATAAAAAAAATCTGCATATTTGTGCATGTTAATTTAATTCCGTTAATTATATCTGGTTCATTTGTTTGGGTTTTTAATTTGCAGTCAAATCTCGTGGTAGAATTAAACAACACAATTATGTTGCGTCAACGAAATTTTCAAGCCGTTTAACTTAAATGTTTTCAAAATGCTATTTTTAATTAAAAAACTTTATATAACATTCTAAAATTCAAATTCTTTCCACAAGACATTTATTTTCAGCTTACGTCAAATACTTGGCTATTAAGTTATAAACACCAAATCGCACTTTATGAAAACAAACAAAAAAAAATCCATAAAAAAGAGACAGAAAAAAAAAACAATCAATTTAACATTCACTTCCTTGTACCTACAAATGATAGCTGACGCGCTGTAACTATTTTTAAAAAAATAAATACTAAATATATTTGCATATACAAAAAAGTATATTAGTAACAATTTATGCTATACAACCTTTCGAAACGTGAAAAATTAAAAATCGAAATTTACAGATATTCATCGTTCCGTCCTTCTATGTCTAAGCATTTATTGAGAAATCAATATTGTAAGTCAAATGAAATTTGCAATGGTGTTGTGAATGTAGATGACTTACACATAGTTTTTACAAACTTCATTATGATTTCTTTATTTTTTTTTTTCGATTTTCATTTTGTACTTTCATTATTTTTCGTAATTTCTATCTAATTCAAAGAGATCTTCTTTATTTAATCGATTGTATTTACTATATATACAAGATGCTTAATAAACCTTCTAAAAAGGCTAACAATAATAACATTTGAGCATATTATACAAGTTTACAAACAAAATGCAATATAGTAAACGTTCAAAAAGTAAGACAAGATTAAAAGAAGGAAATAAAAAAAGAAAAAGATTTATGTTGAGAATCAAAATTTGCAAAAAAAAAAAAAATATTCGCAAAATAAATGGCAATAAAAAAAAGTCGCTTCATGAAAGATTTTAGCGTTTTATTGTAAAATTTGTTTACTTTTCTTCGTCTTCTTCTTCTTTTGGAAAAATACTAATAACATGAAATTTCCATGAAGACGAACCTTTCTGCAATAGGGAACTGTTGCAGAAATAGAAGGAAATTTTGATGCTTACAAATTAGATTTACATTCCTAGTTGGAAAAAATTTAGGACATTTACTAAATGAATTGTTAAAGTTCTCCAGAGAATTCCAGATAAAGTCCTCGATTAGATACCCAAATTTTTGAAATGTTACTTTACGATTGAACCAATCCGCCCCGTCACAAAGTACATAATTGACTTAAAGGAAAATAACCGTAAAGAACCGGGATATTTTAACTATTAAAAGAACAGTTAACTAAGAGTGTGATATGACTGTTTTATTTGATAATAAATTGAAGATTGTAAGACTGATCAATTGTGCGTTTCCCTAATGGAATAGCTAGCAATATATCCTTGGCCGAAATTCACAGTCTTTTTGAATTCGAGTAGTTTATTAATAACGACGTTTTTGAACTAAATGCGTATTCGCTCAAATATTCTACTCTTTCTCGATACCAGATCTACCATATATTGGAAAGTAAACATTTTTAACAGGTGCCGCAAAACAGGGGCGCCATTGAAAATTAAAAAAAAAACTGTAAATCCAATTAATAAAAACTATTTTCCAATTTTTTCCATTACGTGTTTTTCAAACATTTTTTTAACAAAAGCCTGACATTTTAATTCCAGGGTTTAGTTTTATAACTAATATTATATTCTGCATAAGATAAAAATACAAAAACGTAGTTTTATTGCATATTTTTCATTCCTTTAAAAGATGAGCCGCACTTTTTGAAAACTGCGTAAGGCGCTAAGCACTCCACAACCTATTGTTGGTCAGGCAATAGGGCTGCCTGAGATACCATATATAATAAATATAGCAACATATCTCAGTAGTCTCCGAAAAATAAAGTAAAAAAATATTTGACATTACTACACCCAGTTACTATTTATTAGCCGCCTTCTTTATCCTCTCTGATATACATTATTTCGTAAAACTAAGAGTGCAGACTATATTTCGTTTAATTTCACAGTGATTTAATTTTAACTTGTGGTTGTCGCCCTACGCGATTTATGAGTTCACATATTTTTTTACCAGAATCTAAATCCTACCGATTTTTTTTAAATTTTCCCAAAAACTACTAACCAAACACAGTACAATTTTTAAAAACTTCAACTGCGTTAGTCATCTCGTACTTTTACTTTTCTTTATTATGCAATCTTTAATTTTTACAATGAAAATTCTTATTTTTCTTCTTTGTTACTTAATGATGATTTCAGTTTGTAAAATTTTCTTTTTCTTTTGTTTTTTTTTTCTTATACTTACTCCATTAACATATAAATCCATTATGAATAATCCAAAAACCAATGTTGCACATAAAATTTGTTGCAATAATTTTGTTGCCATTTTTGTTTTTGTTATTTTTTTTTTGTATTTTATTTTAATTTTATTATATTGTTGTTGTTAATGTTGATGTTTTAACAATTTTTAACAATTGTTTCGAGGATGTTTTATTTTAATAGTATAACCGTTTTATATGCAGTTATATTATATATCCCGTTACATTAAATTGTTATTTTGTAATATAAAGTTTAAATATTATGAACACATATGTGCATAAATATATGTTATTACAATATGTTAGACATATAAATACAGATGAAGACAATATCAGTATCAGTAGCATAAAATTACTGAGCGCATAGGTAACACTATTTAAAATTTTCACACAATATTTAATGAACTTATATGCAAAGGAAAAAAAATAATGAATGAGTTTGTAAAGCTTGCGTCTAAAGACAAATTAATTTTTCGGTTTTATTATTATTTGTTTTTTTTGGTTAATGTAGGTCTGAAACTGTACATAACAAAACGTATGTGTTCATGTACAATTTCTTACTATTTTTTATGAAAGTGAAGATATTTTCCTTTGAAATCTTCGTTACAAACTCTTTTTTTTTTTTACAATAATGTTTTATTTTTTATTTTATTTTTTACAACTATTATTTAATATAAAACAAAAATAATAATCACAAAATTGTACCAGAAAAAAAAAATATAGAATAAAAATCTTTTTTAATGAAATTTTTCCCAGAGTTAAAATTTTTCTTTGAAATTATTACACCAGTATTATGATGAGAAAACATGGATTTTATTATAAAACGAAAAAAACAATAACGGTAAATTCGCGAAAATTCACCTTTAATAAAATGAAGATATCTTTATTTTATTTTATTCTTGTTTTTATTATTTTTATAAAAAATCTTGCACATCACACAATATTAAAATGTTATACGTATCACTTTTTAGTTCAACAATTATTATTTAATTATTTTACATATATTATAAAATTAAAATTATAATATTTAGTTTTCATAAAAACTCCGCTTAAATAAAACGAACAGTATGAGCACAATTAAGAAAAATAAACGAAGTGATTCGCACGACGAACAAAATTCATAAAAGATGAATTTACCAGAATGAAGTTTCATTTATACCTTCATTTTTCCCCAACATCAATGACAACAACAACAGAAACAAAAATAAATAAAAAAATCATACAATAGGCATCCACTAAATTTATCACTTGCATTGCTATTTTGTTGTTAAATGAAGATGGAATGGCAAAAAAAGAAAAACAAAACAATTTTTCTTTCGTCATCATCAAAAAACTCAAACCAACTATTTTTTCAGAGAGAACAATTTTACAAATGTGAGAGAGGAAAATTTTATTTTTCTTCTATTTTCAGAATTTACATTTATACCAGTAAATTTTTATAACATACTTTACTTAACGATAACCTAATTGTAACACTATTACTCACCACATTAAAGGAAACTGCTGTTATAGCATTACTATTATGAAATGTAGTTTTCTTCTGATAGTATTCTCTTTTTACTATTACAACAATAGTAACAAGAAAATAAAATATTGCAAATATTTATTAAATTCTCTTGAATTTTTTTAATGAGACTTTACTTTTATAAATTCTTTATTATTTGTTATTTTGTTTTTGTTGCCACACTGGCATAAAAATGCTATCGAATTTAATTTTTGTATAAAATAATAAAAAGTTTATGAGACTTTTTAGTAATTAATTCAAAATTTGTAGATTACTTCCAAAAATTATTTTTCGGTCATAATGTCGAAATTTTGCTAGTAATGGATAAAAAAATAAATTGCAAATCATAGACTAAAGTGTATATGAAACCAATTCTTTATATATCACAATTTAAAGAATCTATTAGTTATGAAGGGAGCATTACGAATCAATATTATAGCGTTTCAAATCATGGTGATTTTTAAGATAATCTTGAAACTTGGGGGGGGGGGGGGGGGGGGGGGGGGAAGATCAATTAGATCAAGAATTTGGCGCTACCTTTGAAATTCGGTCCGAAAGTAATGAAGATAAAAACTATAATGATTCCTTACGTTATAGATTTACCTAAAAGGCGGATCTGGGACGGTAGAACCAACAGTTCATTGAGATTTCCTACACAGAGCAATCGAAAACTAATAAAATGTGGGTGTGAGTGTCACGACGATGACGTAAACATCACGGGTTGTCTTGTAGACTGTCTATCAATAATTCAAGCAGAGACATACATCATTGAATTGTATGCTCGTGAGTATTTTAAAAGGAGTCTTAGGAGGAGCAGGACCTTTATTATATCGAACAGTAGCGCCGTTCTCAGTGCGCTTTCGTGTGATGTAGTGGGATACAAATGGGTGAGAGTAAACATTAAAGCATTTGACCTCTTGGCCAAGCACAACCAGAAAACCCTGATGTGGATGCTGAGACATTGCGCCATCGACGAAAATGAGAAAAGAAAGGGACTTGCCCGAAGGAGACCAAAGAGGCGGCTTCGTGAACCTATGGAACGGTAGCGTCTTGAAGAGGCTGCATTACTAAAATCTACCAGGAAATAGTACTAGGGTACAGTAATAGTACTAATATAATCGAGGATGTGAATCACCAAATATTCTATATGAATCAACGTGAGAAGCGTCAAAGTCTCTTTATATTAATGTTACTTGTACTTGATTCATTTAAAAATTTTAGGAATAAATATTCGTTGGCTGGCAGACACAACGCTGATTTCTCATTTTGTTATTTTAAATTTATTTCAAAACTGTCATGAATTTTTTAAATCTCAACTCGACTGACTGAATTACTTCGATTAGTCTCTTCTAAAATTATTCACTTCCCTCAAGTCTCTTCTCTTTTTTGTCATTATCTCTTTTCATGAAAATAAATAGATTCGTTATTGTTTTATTTTACATTTTTACACTACCTCTTTTAACAATTTTATTTCTATTTTCTATTCTTTTTCCTCTCTCTTAGGGCTTTTATTCAATTATATGCTGTGGTATAGCAGTGCTATGATAGCATACAAAAATAAAAATTATACTTTTGAAATCGTGTATCTAAATTATTACATAATTTTCCTATATCACATATGTTTGTATGTTTGAACTCATGTGTATAATGCTAAAAAAAGAACATAAGATAGCGAATGGTTTGAAAAAAAAAACGAAAATTTCTAGACAGATGATGGTCAGTATTAAGATTTTCTATATGGTATGGTACAAAAGTGACCATGACAACACACAATAATATAAGAGCTTATAGTATACGCGATGAATATTGATCTTAACGTATTAGGGAATAGGATTACAAACTTTTCATACATGGTACCTAAATTCGTTTTCATTTTAAAATTGTTAATCTAATTTTTTTCCGTTTTTATTTTGTTATTACTTTTATGTAGTAAATTTTAAGTGCATCATCGTCATCATTAGCATAAAAGTATGGGTTATTGTTTTGCGCGATGGATATGCAAAAATGGCAAAGTAATTTTCAATGTATTATTGTAATTCTACAGAATTTATTTTCTAAAGTGTGTCTAAACACTAATGTTACATTCATAACAGTATAATATATAAAATTTATTTGATACTGATGGTTTCAGGTTTTTATGATAGATAATTTTTAACTTGCTGAATGAAGGTTTTAGAAATTCAAAATTTTATTACATATACAGGATGGACTGGTACTGATGTTAATGCTCTCAGTTGATTATTCCTTCAAATTTTTTAGTAAAGAAATTATTCTTGTGTGGGAGCGAACTCACCCATTTAAGGTAGTTTTTGAGAGTAATAGAAAATCAGATTGGAAAAATTGCTTTTTTGACAAATATTTATAACAGCCTCAAACCTGTTCAAATTAGAGCAATGTGTTGTTCTCTTTTATTTTTCTCAGTTAATAGTAATATGTCTATTTACTATTGTGGGTAGCACTTGCATAATTTTTTGCTTTTAATAGTATGAATATAAAAAGCCTTTTTCTAAATTTGAATTTAATGTAAATATTTGAAAATCAAACAATTGGGGGCCACGAAATCATTGCCCATTAACTTTTGTGGTCGTGTTGTCATGATCGTAAGATCTATCTGCTCTACACTTTTATCATAAATAATTTTCGTGTTTTTACTTTAGAGGTTGTTACATACCAGGCTCTGGAATAAAAACATTGCATATAAAACAGTTCACACAATTTAATAAGAATCGTCAATCTTGTAACTTATTCGAATTTCAAAGGAAGCTTTAAAGCGTTTGTTTCAATTATTTAAAATTTGTTCTTACTTATTTTGAAGACCCCCTACAGCTGTCAAGAATTCACATTTTTCATATTCTCTTTCAATATTTTTTAAAAAATAATTTTTTAACTCGTACACTATACACGATTTAAAGCAAAATGAATTTAAAAATTGAATGAAAATTTTTTAAGTTTATCTTTTATTGTTTTTTAATGAAAGAGTACTTGAAACTGTTATTGAATTTTGATTTGATAGTTAGTTAATTTTTATATAAAATATAAAAGAATAATGCGAATGAAATATAATAATTGCAGAATAGCGTGGTAGATGATGATTTTAATTTTTAAAGTGATGGTTGCAATGGATAATGATCTAATTCTGCCTTTTATATTATATTATTATTAATTTGATGTTTCTAGGTGGTCATTTTTACCATATTTTGGAGGTGATTAAGAGTTTTCAATAAAAAAAAAATAAAAGTGTGAAGTACCCACTTTTGTGTTTCTTCTTTTTATTATTATTTTTGTAATAATGCCATTCATATATGGTCTAATTATTTTTTTGAATTGAATTTATTGTTATTGAAGTAATTAATATATAAATTCTTAAAGTAATAACTTTTAATTGCTGTTAAGCATATACTTAAGAAGTTGAATATAGCTTAATATTTTGATGTTTAAATTTTGTTATAATTTAATAGTAGCTAACAACTCATTTTAAGGGCAATTATCAATAATGAAAATTGCGTTCATTCAATTTACTGTTTAATATTTCAAGAAAGCTTCTTCTTGAAACAAACTGATTTATTAAACTGTATCGTACTTAATTCAAACTGTCTTGAGCTAATTATTTTCTTTTAATTAGCAAGGGAGTATGTTAAAGAAATAAATAAATTTTAACCATTAATAAACTTTGGAACTAAATTACAGAATATTAATTTCTGAAAATAATCATATAGAAATTCGTCAAAAGTTGAGGGAAATATTGTATACAGCATCGAATTGTTTGCAACTAAATATTAATATCGTTCTAGAGATATAAAAGGAATAACAAGTAAAAAAATTTCAGTCGGTCTAAACCTGATCCTTTCAAACCGGTCTAAACTCTAAACTAAATTGCATCCCGCACTTTGACAAACTGAATATAAAAACTGGTTTTTGAAATATTTAGAATTAGCTTTCATGGTTGTATGGCAGTAATTCGAACCTCTCAAACCTTTCCACAACAATCTGACCTACAATTGAACATATTATAACTGCCAATAAATTTAACTTTAATTTTAACATTTAGGTCAAATATAAAAAAATAATTGCGGTACAAATTTTAAATT